ATAAACTTTAAGGACGCTTCCTTCCACAGAAAGCCCGGCTCGCTCAGCCCCCAGAAGAAAAGGTCTCCTTCAGGGTAATTAAACTATAAAGCAATTTACAAGTGCAAAAGTTTACCCCATAAAGCAGTAAAATACAGTCACTGGGGAAGAAAAAGGGAGCGAAAGAAAGAAAGAAAGCAAGAGGGGCAGAAAGAAAGCAAGAGGGCTACTTTATGGGCTCAGGAAATGCCTCCTCGCTGTCCTTTTCCATCTCGCCTCACCTTGCGGTCGCATCCAGGGGAAAAGCTGGGTCGGAGAAGGGCTCTGCTCCGAGCTCTCCGCCTCCTCTCCAAGGCCGCTGGCAGCAAGCTTGCAGTCCGTGTACTGCACCAAGTCCGACTCCTGGGCGCTGAAGAGGCTCTGCCTTTGCAAGGGGTCGTAGCCATAGAAGTTGCTGGGGTCCCCATGGCACGCCACGGCGCAGGGATTCTGTTGGTAAGGGGAGCTGGAGAGTGAGGATGCTCCGTGGTAAAACTCCTGGATTTGGGTCGGATGCTGGAAGGTGCCCCCCGTGCTGGGTCCGTACACCACCGTGGGTCTGCCCCCAAGATCCTGAGCGAACCCACAGTCATAGTAATTGGGACGCAAGGAGTCCCCGGTTTTGTATTTGGAGAAGAGTGAGTTGACAAAATAAGAGCTCATTTTAATTTAAATAAGAATATTTGTTTGGAGGAGGAAGAAAAGGAAAAAAAAAAAAAAAAAAAGAAGCCAACCAGACCAGACCACGGGAATCTATTAGCAAAAAAAGAAAGCGCTAAGATGCTAAGCAACGACAGTTTGTGATTTCCAGGAATATAAAAGGAGGATATAATCAAAACTCTAAGCCTGCATGATATTGAATTCTTTCCTCCCCCCCACCCCTAAAAAAAAAAAAAAAAATCGCCACTTAAAGAGTTCTCGCTTTACATTTCCAAGAAGAGATGCCAGTTCATAAACAGTTTTCAGTGATTTACTTCAGCGCAAATGAGTTGTTTCATATTTTGCAGTGTCTTTTCATGATCATTTGCATCTATTACCAAAACCTCATCCTATTGGCTTCTCCTTACTCCACACGGACTCTGCACTGCATGATTGTGAAAGGAAGAGTGTGAGAGAATAAAGAAGGAAAAGCAAGCGAGGGGGAGCGAGAGAGGGAGAGGGAGCGAGCGAGAGAGAGAGAGAGGGAGCGAGAGAGAGGGGAAGGGAGAAGGAGGTGGGGTGAATATACGGATTAAATATGTTTAACTACCTACATTAATGAGATATCGCTCGCCTCACAACAAATCACATACCTAGACCACCCAAAAGATTGATTTTTGGGGAGTGTTGGAAAATTAAAGAGAAGCGCTCGCAGTCGTTAATTTCAAAATTTTAACGAGGCAGTTTTAGCCTTTTTAAATGTCAGGGTCGCTTTGGAAAACTGTAAAAGAACACGATTTAATTGCTACCAGTTTTAAAAGGTCCTATAAATGTAATTGGTATTTTAATACAAGTTATCAAATCATACAGCTTCTTACCCTAAACATATTTTAAAACAAACGAGGTAGTCATATTTAACATTTTAATGATCAATTTCCTTATTATTGATAAAGGTTTAACTATCACATGAAGGGAATTGCATTTGTAATAGCCCCAAAAAAGGCTGTAAACTGTTTAACAAACTATAAAACGCCATAAAGCCGGGGATGTTGTTGTTGTTTATACCGCACTACATAAAAGCCGTTAGGATTTTACGAGTTCGTTCCTCTACTGCTATAAACCAGAGGTTTCGATTGGACCCGTCCGCATTACAGCGAGATGTTGAGGTGTCAATATTGAATTAAAATGATTATAGTTTTTCATATATAACATTGACTTTTTGTGTCTCTCCCGCAGCCCCCTCCCCGCCTCCTCCCCCGCCGAGGACTTGTTCAAGATGTGGTTGGGGATGATTGCGAACTAAAAGTATTGTGTCGCTTATCACACCCAGAACAGAACCTTTATGGTCAGTAACTGATGGCTGTTCCCTACCTCACCCCCTCCTCAATAACTTCTTTTTTTTTTTTCCCCTTTTTGCATGATACTTCTAATGAAAACTGGGGAGAAGAGGGGGGCTGGGGTAAGGGAGAAAGGAGAGAGGCTTTCTGTTTTATTGGCATTTGGTAACAACGGAGCAAACTTACCCCTAAGATGCCAACGCTGCAATTTTCCACCATCTAAACACACAGGGGGTAGATTTTGAAATTCATTTATCGCAGTCAGCAAATATTACCGAGACGTATTTCAGCTAATAACGACACCAAACCTTCCCAACCCAACCGCTGCCCCAGCCTGTCTAACACCCACGACGCCCCTCCAAGCCCCTCGCAATGCCAGCTATATTTTCCAATCCCTCAACCTTCAATAGGAGTTAAAGACACTCTTTAAAACCGTTTTTTTTTTTTCCCCTCCCCTTTGCCCTAGGTAGATTGCTGCTGCTTCCCATTGCATCCGTCTGCGTGGTTTTCACACGAGAAAGGTGAATTAAAGACGGTTTCACTCGTGTCTGCTTTCAACTGAGGGACAATTTTCAACCCCCACAACATGAAAAAAAGGAAAAAGTTGAAATGTTTCGGTTAGTCTGTCTTGCCAGGGCTTTGGTAAAAATAAAAAAAAAATCCTTGCCTTACATTTGGCACTGGTAATAGGCAGGGAATTAAGAAAGGCAGAAAGAAAAAGAGAGAGAAGGAAAGAAAACAAAGATAGTAACGGAATAAAACTTTAAAACCATCCTTAGAGAAATAATTTAAGTAAATACGTTTCCTTTATTTTGTGTCGGGATAATTTCAGCCGAGTCTAAGAGCCTTTTCAAGTAATTATTGTTGTTGGAGTACTTGCAGTGGTATAATTAAGGCTTTTCCCCCCCTAAAAGACAAGTTAACATTTTATTTTTTTCAACACTTTTATTGTCGATTGAGCAGATTTTGGTTTCATCTTTGAACATAAAAGCCCAGAAATGGTGCACAGAAGTAAATAGAGCTTTGCAGCCTGGCGTGGGGATGTTCGACACTAGAAATTTCAAGGAAGGAAAAAAAAAAAGATTGAACCGTCTAAAGTATTTTTAGAAAAGCAGCTATCTTCTTCTATGTGTGTTTAGAGGCGTACTCCCATCTCTGCGTGTTCGTAAAATAAAAAATAGCAGGAATTCCCTTTCATACGTGGACCTCAAGAAGGCGGGAGTGAAGTTGTTCTTGGAAGTTAACATTTTTATCAAGTGCAGTAGAATTTTATGGTCATGATGTGATGGTAACTCACCAATGCACCAGAAATCAATGGCTGATCTTAAATCATTCATATACTGTACTCAGATTCCTGATGAAAGGAAAATGTTTCTATTATAAGAAAAAACAAGTGGGGATGTGTGTGTGTGCGTCTGTGTGTCTGTGAGGGAAAAGATAATTTATAAATACCCAGTGGAGGAAAGATTTATTAGGATTTCACATGGAAAAAAAAAAAAGAAAAAGAACCCCAAACCCTTTCCTAGGTAAACCTTAACTTCACACTGCTCTGCATGTCACTAAGTGCACAAGGGCAGGATTTTTCTTTGTTTTCCCCATCTTTTTCTGTTTACATTTGTATTTCACTTTAATAGCGTTTAATCAGTCTTGCTTAAACTTTGCTTTTTAAAACAACGTATCGCATCTTGTTCTCTCGTGTGCATCAGTTTAATTTGTTACATTCTTCCCCAAAATGATGCTTTATTGGGCAACGGGTGTATTTTCTGGAGTAACTTCGGAGAAACAATTATTCAGAAAATATCTGTTTAGAACAATTTGAAAGGAAACGTATAGTGAAATTGTCACCAGCATTCCTTCCTATGTTGTTTGTTCCTGAAGGACTGGAACGTCTGAATATTTGTCTTGTAATTCTGATGAAACAAAGGCCAAAATAAAAGTGAACTAACGGAGTTTAAAGTTTACATTCTTGTTGCTACTGCATCAGTGGAGTATTTATATGTAACACAAAACGGGGTAAGTTAATAGCATTTTGGATTAATTTATGGTTTTGTAGCATTTTAAAATATTTACAAGCATATATAGGGAAGACCTTGGGCAAAGAGCAGTGGCATTACCAACAGACAGAGCAACTATGCCAAAAATGACCCGTTCAACTAATCAAAAGCATATACTGAGGTTTTTTTTCCGCGGCTATGAATCTAAAACATATAAAATAAAGAGCCGAGAAAACGCAGATCCGCGTAACAGCTAAGATGAAGACGCAGGATAAAATGTCCCGATTCTAAGTGCGTCTTTCTCCCCGAAATCTTGGAGCCACTCTCTTTTCCCGTCCTGCGAACGTAAATCTTCGGTTTGGAGATAATTAAGCTGTCCTCCCATCTCCACCCGAACCAGCAGAAGAGAAAACCTGAAGGGTTTTTTCTCCCTTTTAAATGAACATTTTAAAATAGATGCGTGTCCCACCTCTCACACCGCATCCCAGCACTGAGCCTCCAGATTGACTCCCCCTTTTTATTTTTTCCCAGCCTCACATAATTTACCCTCGCAGGGAAAAATAGATGTAACCTATAA